TTTATTGTGTTCCCTCTGCTGCTGTTCCAAGCTATGTATGTGATTATGCATTTCCATTGGTTTTAGCTTCTGTCTTCATCACCTACTGTGTTGCCTTACAGCCTTAGTATTGGCCAGGGGAACCTAATTCAGCAAGGGTGTGGCTTGAACACTGGATGAGATTGCGCTTCTGTGAACCTCCTTATTTAATTTGGAGTCTTGCCTCAAAGTCTCAGGTAAAGGTTGAACGTAATGAACATGAGCAAGGCAAGACCGAACAAACTATCTGGAAACTGTCCAATGGAAAAGTTGAAAATGGCTCTAATTGTGCTACTTCAGAGAATGAAAAACATAAACACAATCCAAGGAAAGTTTCCGCAAACCCAGCTGATCTAGTTCGGGAACAACCCCAAAATGAGATTGGGAAGGTTAAGCCCAACTTAAGGAAAATTCCTGACTCTACAAAGGAGATATCTGGTAGGGCAGAAGTGAATACTGAGACTCCAAATCAAACTCTAAAGAAAACTTCTGCTTCTTCTGTGGTGGATGTTTTTGAGGGGGATTCTGCATTTCTGTGCTGAGAAGAGGAATGTTGCTAGTGTTGCATCAACAAAACCATCAAATCTTAAGGCCAATCCAAAACTGTTGACTGCAAGTGATTCTGTTGAAGAATCAAACACTGCCCCTGCTGTAGACTTACAACCTACAGAAAGCAATGGTAAAGTTGAGAACATGCATGCAAGTGATGAACAGTTAAGCTCTTAAGGATGGCATTATCAGCAGTGAGAAGTGGAACACAAGCCAAAGAAGAGCTTCTTTACCTGGAAAGATTGATAATAAAGCCAATGGTTTATATAGCACACCAAAAGTGCTGAGTTATATGGCACCTACTGAATCTGTTAAGTCAAAGCTCAGAGGATAAGGCTCCCCAAGATTTTCGCGTGATGTAATAGAGAAAAAGGGGGTAACTAGGCAGCATTCTCTGCCATCTGCTACCAATAGCAACTTAAGTTATCACCAAGGGCAGAGAGATTGATTCTAGCATCTGGAAAAGGTGCTCTGAGAAATGATAAATCACTTCATCATCTAGAGGTGCTGGTGGTAAGAAAACTTGAGTCCTCTTTCATATGCCTTGTGTTTCTGGTGTGCAATGTGAGTATACCTTTGGATATATTACTTTTATATAAGTTTATAAAAGGACTTATTTGTACATGCATTTATGTCTTGATCTGTATGTGCACTTGTGCATAAAATATATTGGTTCTTTGTAATGTCAAAATTGTTTAGCAGTCAAAACTTTCAGTATTGGTGCAAACTTGACTATGATTTCTAGACTAGAAATTTGGGGTCTATGCCAATTAATGCTCCTTTATTAACTATTTCTAATTGGCCTTTTAACCAAAACTGAGTATCTTTAACAATTGAAGTCAAGGATGATGGCAAAAAAGAGTGGTTTTTCATAATTCAAAATTCATTTAATCTGAATGATTCTACATTCTGACTCTATGTTATTGTTGGTTTGCCAATTGCAGATAAGGGGATCAAAGCTGACTGGAGAAGGTATTTTGCATGAGAACCTGTTCTTGTTGAATTCCCATGAAGGTAGAGAAACATGCAACTTAACAGCAGGGTTCCCTCTTTATGTAGTTGATTTCTGAGGTTTATTGTAG